ATTATTGTTAAATCTTGCTGTGGATGATTTACGCCAAACAAGTTTCAAGAAGTATGAAATATTTTAGATTTTCTGAATTAATGTTTTTAAAAAATAACTTAAGGATTTGCCTTTTGACATTAAAACACTGCATAGAATATTGCTTGATTTGGACAATAAGCAGCTATCATTTTCATAACATTGATGAGGCATAGATCAGAATTTTAAGAAGTGAGCAGCTTCTGTACCCTGTGCATCCTATGGGAACTTGCAAGGTGAGTGCTACTTTGGCAGTGAGGGTCAATCTTTCCAAGCCACATCACAGGAATTACTGGCATTAATTCCTGATGCTACATTCTGTGACCAAAGGGGTTTGGGGCTGGGGTTTGATCTATACACAGTAAGTTAATGCAAACGGTTCTCAGTTAGCATGTAGTGCTCACAGGTGTCTTTCATCTGTACTGTCTGAGTGTCTGTGTCACGCTGTTGCTCTTTGAAGGGCCTCATCATTCACAATTGCCCCTCCCTCACAGAATGAAACTCTTAGCCTGCTCTCAGTCCCCTCTCACTACTGATGTGTTGGCAGCGATTTTAATCTCCGTTGTGCACTTGTTATTTATAGCATAAGGGAAGAAAAACAGCAGTCGGTCCTCACTGTCTTTAGTGAACCCCAAATATCTGCATTCTCCATTTGGTAGCCCTGCCTTACTGCCCCACCAGCCTTGAACTTTCCCACATTCTCACCCAACCCACTTAACTTAATCCATCAACTGTCTGTCTTATAACTCCAGGCCCAGGCATATTGCGTGAATATGCCAGATATAGCATTGCACTGGCCACACCCACCCTTTCCCTTCTATGTTCTAACATCATCTCCATTCATAACTCAAAACCACCACATCTCAGTCAACTGCCTCAAATCCCTACAATTAAGTTCCCCAGTTTTCCTCCCACTGCAACGGCCTCAAATATCCCATCCAATAGTCCCAGTAATTTATTTTATTTTCCAGGGAGCAGATATCTTAGGTCTGTGAATGCCATCAATGTTTGTTTGAAACGGGAAGTCAATGGGTCAGCATGCTAATCAGTGCACAGAATCTCTGAGAAGCTGTATGGCTCTGAAGCTTAGAGGGAACATTGGCCTTCTCCCTTGACTTTTAATAGACGGTCCGTCAGGACAGATCATGGCTACCCCTTTGAGCAGCTTGGACAGATAGTCCCAAACAACAGTGACCAAACCCCTGATTGATCTCTGTACAGTTCCCCCACTGACTTACTGCAACTGCCTGGAATATTTGTACTGGACCCCACATGGCGGATCATGGCCCAGTCCCCAGACTATAGAGGTACAGAGTCCTGACTGTGACCAGCCTGAGTAGTCGACTAACTGTGTCCAAGTCCCTGGACTGATTTCAGAGACGGACCTTGGGTTCTCCTGCCTGAAGGGTGTCTTCCTTGACTGAGAACTACTCCTCTTTAGACTTTGCGACAGGGTTATGTGCTTGAAGGAACTGCAGTGTGTTTGGCATATTCGTGGACAGCGCAAGGTACTTATCCGAGATT